ACAGCGGCGGCAACGGAGCTGGCGGCGAAGATCGTCGCCGTCTTCGTCGACATCGGCGTCGTGGGCGGCGGCCGCTTGTGCCATCGTCGGCTTCATCGTCGACGGCATCTTCGGCTTCGTCGTCGTCGCCATCGCCGTCGTCTTCGTCGTCGTTGTTGGCGTCGGCAGTGCTGGCGCCGTCGCCGTCGTCGTCGCTCTCGTCTTCGTCTGCGGCGGTGCCGTCGTCGGCGTCTGCATCAGCGTCATCGTCGACGCCGTTAGCCCCATCAGCGTCGGCGCCGTCGCCGTCACGGTGGGCGCTGTTGCCCCGCATAGGGCCCGGGGGCCCTCAGAGATCGCTTCGGCATGAGAAATCACGCATCAAGGATGGGGCTGGTCATCTTCGGCGCCGTCGCCGCGGCGAGTTTGCCCCATCTGGGAGCCAGGGGCCCTCATGAATCGATCTGGCGCGGTGAATCGCGCATCCAAGGTGGTGCCGCAAGCACCGGCCGCGATTCGGTCACGACGGCGTGGCTTCGTGCTCGAGGCGCCGGATGCTGCAAAACGCCCAGGGCCGAGAGGGGAAGCGCGCGGGGTTCTTCTGATGTGGTGCTCCTCCTCGTGCTGCCCCGAAGAGAGCGGCACAATCCGAGTCCACCTGGCGCATCCAGGGGCCGCAGCGCGTCCACGTGCTGCTCCCGCTTCCTCCTCCTCCTCCTCCTCCTCCTCCTCCTCCTCCTCCTCTGCTCCTCCTCCTCTCCTCCTCCTCCTCCTCCTCCTCACCCTTCCCCTCCTCCTCTTCCTCCTCCTCTTCCTCCTTCTCACCTTCCTCCGCCGTCCTTCCTCCTCCTCCTCCTCCTCCTCCTCCTCCTCCTCCTCCTCCTCCTCTGCTTATGCTGGGGAGCGCTGGAGGAAAGGCCCAAAGAAGGGCACAAGGAACCACGAGCCCCTTCCGAGGGTTTCACCGCATGGCGGGTTGCCGCCGCGGCGTTCTGGCATCGAGTAGATATCGTTCGACCGTGAACGATCGCGGCTTTCGGGCAGCGCGGATTGTCCGGTGCTGGCCGACTCAGGGCCACTGGCGGCGTTCAACTTTGAACGCCCGCGCTAGGATCGCCGCCTTGTCAACGCGGCGCGACCCTGCTGTAAGAATGGCCTCTGCGTGGCGAGCAAACAACTGACCCTCGATCCTAATTTCGGACGGGGGGCAAGAGGGGCCCTATTCGAGCGGGGACCCCCGGCCGACTTCTTTGGAGGCCTCCCAAGTGGGGTCAAAGTAGATGAGATCGAAGGATCGCACCGAATCGCCGATGCATCGGCTATGTCGGCGATGCATCGGCGCCGTTGGCGTGGAAAAAAACGTGCTCCACATCTAGCCGCATCGCCGATGCATCGGCGATGATCTTCCAGCGCCATCTAATCGGGCCCGATTTGGGAGGCCTGGGATCTCAAACAGATGGATCCGCCACCGTGTCTCCTGGCACACTGGGACGTGCTAGAATGCCAAGTTCTGTGTGGCAAGGTTGCTGTAATCTTCTAAGAGGCCCCCAGTCGCACTTCGCCGCGTAGAGGGCCTCCCGTGGAACACAAGACAGCCTTCTAAAGTGAAGGGGCCCCAGGAAACACAAATAAATACACACTAGTAAAAATATTCCCCATATGTTCCCATATTTTCTGGGTTTCTGTCTTCCCCCCCACTTCCCATATTTTCCCATATTGTCCTGGGAATCGACGATTCATTGTGTCTGTGTGTTTTTTCCCCTCCCGATAGAGGCCCTTCGACTGCCCAAGACGGCGCCAAGAGGCGGCCGCACGAGGGCCCCCTGGGAGGGGAGGGGAGGGGAGAGGGGGGCGGGGGGGGAGGCGGGAAGGAGACGCGCACGGGTGGAAGCGGATCGGGGGCCACACGCGAACCCTACCCCTACCCCCCACGATTTCCGAGGGGGAGGGTGGGGTTCACTTCGTTCGGGAGCTCTCGAGCGAAGCGAACCCCACCCCACCCCCCCTCAGAAGACGTGGGGGGTAGGGGTAGGGTTCGCATGTGGCCCCCTAGCGGATCGAGAAGGAGGGCTCGAGGCTCCAAGGGAGGACTGTGGGAAGGCAGCACGGGTGCCGGGTGGCGGGGGGAGGGTGGAAGGGGGGAGGGGGAACTGTGGCAGAGGAGGGGGAGGAAGCGTGAGGTCCCCAAGACGGCCCCAAAGAACCCCCAGACGGCATCGGAGGACCCAAAACGTCCCCAAGAGTACACCCAGGGGCCCCAAAACTGCCTCACAGGAAGCCCAGACACCCGCAAGACGGCCCAAACGCGTTCCATGAGGTCTCCTCAATTAGTGAGGACGAAAGGAGTCACACATGACAGCCTTCCTCCTCCTCCTCCTTTTCCTCCTCCTCTTCTTGTTATTAGTATCCTGCTTCATAATACTATTACTATTGTTCGGGTAATGTTTCGTCCTCTTATTATTATTGTTCTTCTTCACTTAGTATGATTCGCATCATTGGGCGTATCATTAGTCTGGATATTCTTACTCTTACTATTTCCCTCATAAATATTACTAGTACTAGTATGATTATTAGTATTCGTATTAGTATGTACGTCGTCATCGTCTTCTTATTAGGTGTCGTATTTTTCGTCTTCTTATGATTAGACTTAGTACTCGTCTTCCTGGTATTATGTTTCTTCGTCTCCTTTGTGATCTTATTATTATTCGTCTCATTTTTCGTAGTATGACTAGGATTCATATTAGTACTATTATTCCCCTTCCTCCTCCTCCTCCTCCTCCTCCTCCTCCTCCTCATCGTCATCCTCCCCCCCATCCTCATCCTCATCATCATCCTCATCCTCCGCCTCTTCCTCATCATCACCAACCACCACCACCATCACCACCACCACCACCCCACCACCACCAACACCACCACCACCACCATCACCACCACCATCATCATCATCATCATCGTCATCAGCAGCAGCATCATCATCGTCATCATCATCAGCAACATCATCATCATAATCATCATCAACACCATCATCATCATCATCATCATCATCATCATCATCATCATCATCATCATCATCATCATCATCATCATCATCATCATCATCCTCAGCATCATCATCATCATCATCGTCATCATCAGTATCATCCTCAGCAGCATCAGCATCATCATCATCCTCCCCATCAGCATCAGCATCATCAGCATCATCATCGTCATCGTCAGCATCATCATCGTCAGCATCAGCATCGTCATCATCAGCAGCAGCATCATCATCAGCAGCAGCATCATCATCAGCATCATCATAAGTAGCATCACCATCGTTATCATCATCATGATCATCATCACCACCAACCACAACAACCAGCAGCGGCCGCACTGGTATCATCAGCCGCAGCAGCAGCAGCGTCGTCATCATCATAATCATCATCATCATCATCATCATCATCATCATCATCATCATCATCACCATCATCATCATCGTCGTCGTCGTCCGAATCCTCAGCATCCCCAGCGGTTTCAACCATATTATCCGTATCATCATCATCATCATCATCATCATCATCATCATCATCATCATCATCACCATCATCATCATCATCATCATCATCATCATCATCATCATCATCATCGTCAGCGCCAACAACATCATCATTATCGTCAGAATCCTCATTCGCAGCGTAATCAGCATCAGCAACACCAGCATCAGCATCATTACCGTCAATACCATCAGCCTCATCATGATCAGCAGCAGTCTCGTCATCATCGTCATCATCATCGTCACCATCGTCAGCAGCATCATCATCGTCAGTCTCATCATCAGCGGCATCATCAGCATCATCATCATCATCAGCAGCATCGTCATCATCAGCATCATCATCATCATCAAGATCATCGTCAGTGTCATCATCATCAGCATCGTCATCGTTGGCATGATCATGATCCTGATCACGGCCATGATCATCCTCGACAGTAATCATCCCTCCTGCACAGCATCCCCATACTCCACATCATCATCATCATCATTATTATCATCATCATCATCATCATCATCATCATCATCATCATCATCATCATCATCATCATCATCACAATCATCATTGTACTTAACATTACCATGTTCATCGTCACCACCAACACCACCACCACCATCATCACCACCACCACCATCGTCAGCATCGTCATCAGCACAATCATCAGTATCATCACAATCATCATCATTATCATCAGCATCATCATGCTCGTGATTGTCATTATCGTCATCATCATTATCATCATCAGCATCAGCATCACCATCATCATCACCATCAGCATCATCATCACCGCCATCGTCATCGTCATCGTCGTCGACGTCGTCTGATTTGCACCACTAATTACCAAAAGCAGTATCATCGTCATTATCGTTGCCATCGTCATCGTCAGCATCATTGTCAGCATCATCAGCAGCATAATCATCATCATTATAAGCAGCGTCATCATTACTGTCATCAGCATCTCCTGATCTAGGTCAGTATCATCAGCATCACTGTCAGTATCAACAACATTATGATCATAAGTATCAACATCATCGTCATCGCTATCCTCAGACTCGTCATCATCACCAACATCACCAACATCATCAGCATCATCATTATCATCATCATCATCAGCATCATCATCATCATCATCATCATCATCATCATAATCAGCATCATCATCATCATCATCAGCATCATCATCATCATCATAATCATCATCATCATTACCAGCATCATTTTATGTTTCTCTTTTTCTACATCATCCTCATCATCATCAGCATCATCACGGCTCCCCCAAGCCTGGGGACACGAGGTGTCAGACTTGACTACAGGATTGACGGCCTCCCGTGCCCCCCTCGAACAGTGGTCACCCAAAATGCTGCGTTGCACAGCTGGAACTTGAGCCTCGAGATGGGCTTGGGTTTCGCGGGCTCCTATTGGGAAAGAAGCGACATGCCGGGCCAAAGCCGATCCTCCCGGGCCCCTCCGGGGTTCCGCCCTGCCGGTCTTTCGTCACGACTTCGTCCCCGACACGGGACACCCAGAGGGGCCGAGATGGAGGAAGAAAAACTGCGGCCCGAACTCTACAGCATCTAGAGCCTGCCCGTCCTCGTCGTCCCTGACCTGACCCAGCCCACCAGCGCCCAAACGATGGGACCCTGAGGCAAGCACGGAGCAATGCAAATGCAGCCTGGAAGCCCATACAGTCAACCCGCACAGCAAGGACGAGCGACTTTTTCCAAGGTTGCCCTTGCATCTTTCCCCTTCGGCCCATCCTTGGCCGCTTTCGCTTTCCGCACCCTGCACGCAACGTGTCGACATGGCCTTCAAAGACCCTTGCATCATTACCGTGCGTCCATATTATATAGTGGCGACCAACAAGAAACACCCTGCTTGCCTCCAGGGTGCCCTGGGTTTCTTGGGTTTCGATGGCTTTGCTATGGAAAGTGTGACGCTCCTTCACCAAAAAACAATAGACGTCCTGGGGTCTCAGGGTTGGGCTTCTTGTGCAACGTTTCTTGTGGACTGGCCTCCGCTGTGCGGTCTCACTGTGCATCCGACGATGTGCTTCTGTTCCCATCTCTGGCGGATCCTGCCGCCCCGGATCAGTTTGTTGATGGCCCAGGGGGCCGAAGCAAGCCCCCGAAGCCGACAGGAGGGGGGAACGTGCCAGGAGTCAAAATCTCTACCCGACCGACGTCTGGGACCCCTTGCCTACGTGAAGGGGAACTGGGACGCACAAATAAATACACACAAATTAAAATGATCCCCCATATTTTCCCATATTTCCTGGGTTTCTGTCTTCCCCCCCACTTCCCATATTTTCCCACATTTTCCTGGGGGTCAACGATTAATTGTGTCTGTGTGTTTTTTTCCCTCATGACTACAGTCGGCTACACGCAAGAGTGACCCTGGGTAAGAGTGACCTTTGGTGCGCGGCTCTTTGGGGGCCGCGGGGAGACCAAACCTGGCCGCGCAAGCCCCTGCTACTGCTTCGATTTCAGCCATCTGAGGGCCCATCTGCACCCGCACCAAAGGTCACTCCAGCGACAGGTCACTCTTACGTCTAATCGATACTGTGGGGAAACACACGTCTCGAGGGGGCCTGGCGGCCCAGCGCTGGGCGGCCCGGGCGGGCGTCCGGGTCGGACGGCTCCAGGAAGAGGCGGCTGGGCTCCTCGCCGGCCGAGAGCTGCTCGAGCAGCTCCTGGGCGCCGTCGGAGGCGCAGGCCTTCTCCTCCGGGGAGTCGCGTCGAGGGGCCACACACTCCTCCTCCTCCTCCTCCTCCTCCTCCTCCTCCTCCTCCTCCTCCTCCCCTCCTCCTCCTCTCCTCCTCCTCCTCTGCCTCCTCCTCCTCAAACCTCCTCTTCCTCCTCCTCCTCCTCTCTCCTCCCTCCTCTCCTCCTCCTCTCCTCCTCCTCCTCCTCCTCCTCCTCCTCTCCCTCCTCCTCCTCCCTCCTCCTCCTCCTCCTCCTCCTCCTCCTCCTCCCTCCTCCACCTCCTCCTCCTCCTCCTCCTCCTCCTCCTCCTCCTCCTCCTCCTCCCTCCTCCTCCTCCTCCTCCTACTCCCACCTCCTCCTCCTCCTCCTCCTCCTCCTCCTCCTCCTCCTCCTCCTCCTCCTCCTCCTGGAGGAGGAGGAGGAGGAGGAGGAGGAGAGCACACCGTTTGGCGCGTGGGCGGGACAAGTACGCATGCAGATGGAAGGAGGAAGAGGGGGCACCTTCACGACCATGAGGCAGAAGACCCAAGGGCGCAGCACGACTGTGAAGCAGGGAACTGAGCGGCCCACGACTGTGAAGCAGGGGAGCGAGAAAAAACGGAAGAGGAGCGGGGGGGGAGGAAACACCAGAGCAAATCCTTCTCACCATTGTCGAAAGCGAACTCGACACAGATTACTCGCCAATTTACATGGTCCCGCACGGCTTCGTACAAGAGTTGGTCAGAAGGGAAACGAGACCGAGTTTTACGAGATATTTCATTTGTCCAGTCATTCCTGGGTCTCCCCATTGGTCGTTTGCATGAGTCGGCCGCCTGTCGGGGTCTGCTGGGCTGAAAGATACACCATGGCAGAACATCTGTGCCACTTGACCGGCATATTCTCCTAAACAAGTCTTGCGTTCCCAGGAAGTCTGGCGCCTCGGAACAATCGGGACTAGGGTTTACATCGTACGATCTGCCTCTCGAGGCCCTTGAGCCTCGGGGTCGCGAAAAACAACTGGGGATGAAAAACCTGTCCTGGAGAAGCGGTCAAGAAGGCCAGGGGCTCGCGTCTAGAGAAAAAAAAAGAGACGCCAAATGTCCAGCTTCCTGAAGACCCTCGGACCCGGGCGTTGCAATTTCGTCAGACCAGGTCCCGAGACCATCACATACCCGGCTTGAAAAATACCGAAAAAAGACGAGGTCCAAAGCTCCGGCCGCGATCGCCGACAATATTACAATTTGTTCGTGACGTCGGATCTCGGGGTCGTGACTCCTTGTTCCTCGAAGGAGCTACAACGGCATTAGCAGATAAACTGTCGGAGCACAGAGGAAAAAAGCAAAAAAAGCAAAAAATATAGCAAAAGAAAACACAACGAAATAAACTGTCGGAGTACCGTGAGGATCTCTTAGATCGGCGCTGGACCCCAGCGACCCCGGCTTTGCAGGATCCTGCAAGATCAGCGCTCTGGCTGACCCCCTTTTGCATTGACCCCCGTCTGTTGAGCCCCGAGTGTGGAAGGGGGTCCATTGCTGGATCCCCTCCCCACTGCGCGCAGGGGAAGAGGAGTGCGGAAGGGAGTCCAGCGCCGACCGAAGAACCCAGCGCGGACCTCAGAAATGAACGCTTCTGGCGTTACTTGGTCTGCTGTCCTGCGTGGAGAATCATTCGACGGGGGCGGAAGAGAGTAACGAGCCGGATGATGACTAAGGATGGAACATGGGTGAGGCGAGTGACGGAAACGAAAATCCGCCGACCCTGTCAGCGTGTGAAAAGAGGCTGTTCCGTTTGACTCGTCGTCGTCGTCGTGGTCGTTGTCGTCGTCGAGCGCGCCAGTCACAGCGAAATTGAGCAACGTTTTAGTGGAGTCCAAGAGAAGCCCCTTCCATTTGATCCCTTCCCCGCCAGGGGGGGGGGGGTCCCTGGGAAGTCCCGGGGAAGTTCCGGGGAAGTACCGGGTCAGATACGACTCCCCCCCGGGCGGTTCGGGGGCCCAGAAAAGCCCCAAGACGCGGCAAAAATGCCCCAAGATCCCCCCAAGACGGTCCTCGAAGGCCCCGAATCGCCGAAGTATCGGTCCAAGTCGCCAAAGTAGCCTCCAGACGGCTTAGTAGGTTTCCAAAACGTCCCAAGAGGCCTCCAAGAGGACTTCAAACAGGGCACCAAGGAACAAAAATCAGTGATTTCCCTTAGCTTTTTGAAAGATTTCGGCATTCTCGCCTTGTCAGCTTCCCGACGCTCCAAGACAGGCCAAGAGACCCCGAAGACTGCCCCAAGATGGCCCAAGAGGGATCCAAGAGAGCCCCAAAACGACCCAAGAGGGCCCAAGACCGTCCAAGAGGCCTCCAAGACAATCGAAGAGGCTCCCCAGACGGTTGTAAGAGGACGGGGGACCCGCACGGACATTTCGAGCCCTCGGCTTGAGAAGCTCTCAGGAGACCCCTAGAGGCCCCTAAGAAACCCCCCAAGAAGCCCCAAGAGGCTCCCAAAAAAAACCCGGGAAGCCCCAAGAGGCCCCCACGAGGCTCCCAAGCGGCCCCCAAGAGCTTCCCAAGAGGCCCCAAAACTACCCCAGGAAGCCGCCGAGGGTTTCGTCGTTGTGGTCGTGGTTGTCGCCGCCATGCAAGGCCGGCGGCACCGGCCGTAAGGCCTTCGCAATAAGAGCACCACTGACATGGACGACGGAAAGGGAGGAGGAGCGCGGGAATCATCGAACACAAGGCCAGACACGTGGCGACAAGAGGGTGGGCGAGCATTCACGGTTATGCCGTGGTTGGGTATTCTGTCCTCGTGCTCGCAGCACCAGGCCTTTTTGCTCTTGGACCAGCCAGCCTCCCAATTCTTGAAGCCGGCGGAGCAGTCGTAAGGCGGGGACGTGGTGGTCGTGCACCCCTTCCCCTCCTTCGCGGGCAGGGGGGGCAAGAAGAGGACCCAGACCCACATCGCGTCGTGAAACAATCACGACGGACGGTTCGTGAACATTTTGAATCTCTGGGAGCCCTCGACGGGCCCGAGGGCCGTCAAAACGCAGCTCAGGATGAAAAACTGGTCTCGAGGAATGGGCAAGACCTCTGGGAGATCGACGGTGCGGTGAAAGAACCATGGCGCCGGCAGTCTGCGGAGGCAGGAGGGGGATGAAGCAACAACACAAAACAACAACGAGCGTGGACCCACCCAGACAGCTGCGCGTTGGACGTGCAGTCGACGTGGTGCAATCTGCGCGGTGCCCGCGGCGCACCGCAAGCTACGTGCTGCAGCGCATGTGGTGCAGGCTGCGTGCCGTGCTCAGTGTGGTACGCTCCCACGTGGCGCACGCCACGTGGTGCAACCCACGAGGCGCAGTCAGTGCTTGCAACCTCTGGGGTGCAATCTGTGCGCGCGCCCAGAAGCGCCAGCCAACGACCAGGGACGAGGAGGAGGAGAGCAACCAGGGACGAGGAGGAGGAGAGCGAGGGAGGAGGAGGAGGAGGAGGAGGAGGAGGAGCAGGAGGAGGGGCGAGGAGGAGGAGGGAGGAGGGGGAGGAGGAGAGGAGGAGGATGTGAGGGGGGGGGGGGGGGGAGGAGGAGGAGAGGGGGCGAGGAGAAGGAGTGGAGGAGTAGGAGGAGGGAGGGGGAGGAGGAGGCAGGGGAGGGGAGGGGAGGAGGATGAGGAGGAGATGAGGAGACGACGACGACGGACGACGACGACGACGACGACGACGACGAATTGCCGCCCTCGTAGGCGCCCACGGCACGGCACCGCGGTGCGAAAAAACGCCGAGAGACCAGCAGCCCCCACGCACGAGGCGCCCGTCGGGCGGCGAAACCCGGCAGCACGACCCCCAATATAAAGAAAAAAAGAAAAAACAAAAAAACACAAAAAAAGAAAAAAAAAATAAAAATATAAATAAATAAACATAAACTAAAAAGATATACAGAGACATAAAAAAAAGATATAAAGAAAAACAAAAGGAAAAAAATAAAAAAATAATAAAAAAAAAGAGAAAAAAAAAATAAAAAAGTAAAAAAAAAAAAAAAAAAAAAAAAAATAATAAACTAAAATAAAAAATAAATAGAAAAAAATAAAAAAAAAATAACAGCGCCCAGGCCAGCGCGCCGGAGGCCCCCTCGATTGGAACGCCCGAAATACGCCCGACATGGGTACGGAAAGAATGGGCAGTGCCCAACAACAAATGTTGTCCCAAGCCAACAGCGGCCGCTGTTGGGCGGGCGGCCTTTTGTCTCGAATGGACACAGGCCGCGGCGGCGTGGACAGCGAATCCTGTTCAAAATGAACAGGAATTGTTGTTGGGCATTGTACCCATTCTTTCAGTACCCATTTCGGGCGTCCCCTCGAGGCGCTCCTCTCGGGCCGGGCGAAAGGGGGGGATAGCAAAAGGGGGGGTTGAGAATCAGCTCGCGTAATTAGCTGATTTTCCCAGCGCCATCCCGGCGCCTGGAGGCCGTCATATGCATCGAGGAGCATGGGCCCGGCGGCGGGGCCGAGACCAGCTGCGTGCAGCAGATTTCGTACTCCAGATTTCGTAATAAAGGGAGGGGGGTCTCATTTCGGGGGGGGTCCCTTCCAGGCTATCTTGGAGGGCCTGGGGGGTCTGGGGACGATGCTTTGGAGGGTTCTCCCACGGGGGAGGTCTGGAATGGCTTGTCTTGGAGGGTCCAGACCCCTTCCCTTTTATTACGAAATCTGGAGTACGCCCCCCCTTTCCCACTCCCCCCTTTCGCCCGGCCCGATCCTCCCCGGAGGGGGCGCCCGGAGCTGCGGCGCCGCGCGGGGCCGCGCGCACCGACGGACGCTCGTGTTAGGTCGGGCCTGTCCCCCTATAGGGGGAGCTTCGACGAAAGAGATGAAAGAGGCCCCACAACAATAACCCAAAAAGGATGCAAAGATGGTCTGGGGATTCTTTCTGGAGTATGTTTGTGTTGCCTTTTGGGGGGGCACTTTTGGGGCATCTGTTAATCTTCGTCGAGAATCCCCCGGTTGGGGGACAGGCCCGACTTCACGCTCGTGGCACCGAGCAGGGGCCGCGAGGCGCGGGGCGGCACGCGGCGCCCGCAGGGCGCCCGCGCGCACGGAACCGGCGGCGACCGGCGGGCGGCCGGCACGCGGGGCGCCCGCGCCCGGCCGGCACAGGGCCAGGCGCCCACGAGGAGCGCCCGCGGGCGGCGCGGGAGCCACACACAGAACCAGCCTCGAACTTGTCCCTATCCCCGAGATTGGTTCCAGGCTGGTAAACTTAGGGGTAGGTTCCAGGCTGGTAAACACAGGCTGCTCCCCGCCGCGCCCTCCGCCGCCTCCTCCCCTCGGGCCGGGCGAAAGGGGGGGATAGCAAAAGGGGGGATCTGAGAATCAGCTCGCTCGCGTACTATTGATTTTTCCCCTAACAGAAATAATTCGCTGAGCAATTAATGCTGTAGCTGTACTGTAGGGTGCTACAGTAAAAAATTCGCTGAGCAATTAATGCTGTAGCTGTAGCTGTAGCTGTAGCTACGACGAAGCTTTCGCGCGGCGTTTTTTTCTGTTTTTCACGACGCCGGGAGGTCTGGGCCAGGAAGGAAAAAGGAGTTAGAAAGGAATTTGATAAGGGATTTCAAAAGTTAGAAAGGAATTCAGCTGTTTTGCGTTAAATTTGTTTTTTTACGACGCCAGGAGGTCTGGGCCGGGGAAGAAAAAGGAGTTAGAAAGGCATTTGATAAGGAATTTCAAGAGTTAGAAAGGAATTTCGTTGTTGGGGTCGTTTTTGTTTTTTTACGACGCCGAGATGTCTGGGCCAGGAAGGAAAAAAAGGAGTTAGAAAGGAAATTGATAAGGAATTTCCAGAGTTAGAAGGGAATTTCGTTTTGGGTGTTGTTTTTAAGCAAAAAAGAAACGACGCCAGGAGGTCTGGGCCAGGAAGGAAAAAAGGAGTTAGAAATGAATTTAATAAGGAATTTCAAGAGTTAGAAAGGAATTTCGTTTTTGGTGGTGTTTTTTTGTTTTGCTTTTTTTTTACGACGCCGAGAGGTCTGGGCCAGAAAGGAAAAAGGAGTTAGAAAGGAATTTACTAAGGAATTTCAAGAGTTAGAAAGGAATTTCGTTTTTTTGAAATTGTTTTTTTTGTTTTGTTTTTTTTTTTTTTACGACGCCGAGAGGTCTGGGCCAGGAAAGAAAAAGGAGTTATAAACAAATTTGATAAGGAATATCAAGAGTTAGCAAGGAATTTCGCTTTTTGGGATTATTTTTGTTTTGTTTTTAAAACGACACCGAGAGGTCTGGGCCAGGAAGGAAAAAGGAGTTAGAAAGAAATGTAATAAGGAATTTCAAGAGTTAGAAAGAAATTCATTTTTGGTGGCTGTTTTTTGTTTTGTTTTTTACGACGCCGGGAGGTCAGGGCCAGGAAGGAAAAAAGGAGTTAGAAAGGAATTTATCAAGGAATTTCAAGAGTTAGAAAGAAAATTTGTTTTTTGGGTTGTTTTTTGTTTCATTTTTTACAACCCCGAAACACGAAATTCCTAACTCTTGAAATTCCTTATTAAATTCCTTTCTAACTCCCTTTTTCCTTCCTGGCCCAGACCTCTCGGCGTCGTAAAACAAAAAAAAAAAAAAACTTTCTAACTCTTGAAATTCCTTCTGAAATTCCGTTCTAACTCCCTTTTCCTTCCTGGCCCAGACCTCTCGGCGTCGTAAAAAACAAAACAAAAAACAGACCAAAAAAAAACAAAATTCCTTTCTAACCCTTGAAATTCCGTATTAAATTTCTTTCCAACTCCTTTTTCCTTCCTGGCCCAGACCTCTCGGCGTCGTAAAAAAACAGAACAAAAAAAACAACCCCCAAAAAACAGAATCCTTTCTAACTCTTGAAATTCCTTATTGAATTCCTTTCTAACTCCTTTTTTCCTTCCTGGCCCAGACCTCTCGGCGTCGTAAATAAAAAACAAAACAAAAAAACAACACAGAAAAAAGAAACAAAATTCCTTTCTAACCCTTGAAATTCCTAATTAAATTCCTTTCTAACTCCTTTTTCCGTCCTGGCCCAAACCTCTCGGCGTCGTAAAAAAAAACGAAACGAAAAACAACCCCAAAAAACGGAATTCCTTTCTAACTCTTGAAATTCCTTATTAAATCCCTTTCTAACTCATTTTTCCTTCCTGGCCCAGACCTCTCGGCGTCGTAAAAAAGCAAAACCAAAAAAAACAACCCCCAGAACGAAATTCCTTGCTAACTTCCTTATCAAATTCCTTGCTAACTCGTTTTTTCCTTCCTGGCCCAGACCTCTCGGCGTCGTAAAAAAAAAAGAAAAAAAAACAAAAAACAAAATTCCTTTCTAACTCTTGAATTTCCTTATCGAATTCCTTTCTAACTCCTTTTTCCCTTCCTGGCCCTGGCTTCCTCGGGCAATTCGGACTCGATTGTCTTTGTGGTTCAGAACTATCTCTGGTATTCAAATTCCTTTCTAACTCAGGAAATTCCTTATCGAATTCCTTTCTAACTTCCCAACTCAATAGAAATGCGTAACCAAAATGCTCTTGGCAATACTTCGAGCCTACATTATTAATTCCCGACACAATTATTGATGTAATTGCATACAGTGCGCACTACAGAAATAATTTCGAAACCAATTAAAGCTGTACTGCAACCAAAAAAAACAATGGTATAGCTGATTTTCCCGGCGCCTCCCGGCGCCTGGAGGCTGCCATTGCATCGAGGAGAATGGGCCCGGCGGCGGGCCGAGACCAGCTGCGTGCAGCAGATTTCGTCGTAACCCCCCCTTTCCCACTCCCCCCCTTTCGTCCGGCCCGATCCTCCTGCTGCTCCCCCCTCCTCCTCCTCGTCGCCCTCGTCGTCTTCCGGGCCGACGGCACCGGCCGCACTTCGAGGGTTCCCGGATGGGGTCGGAGTGGCTGGGATCGGAGGCTTGCGCCGCATCGCCGATGCATCGGCGATGCATCGCCGATGCATCGCCGATGCATCGGCGATGCACCGGCGACGCGACGTCGACATCGGCGGTGCATCGGCAACGTCGACGTGGAGCAAGCCGGGCTCCACATCGAGCCGCACCGGCGATGCAGCCTGCGGCGCGATCCTCTGACCCCATCTACTCGGACCCCACACGTAGGAGGCCCAGTAGTAGTGCCCTCACGATCACACGAGCATAACTTTTCGGAGGTCCGTGCGTACTTCTTGGATCGGCGCTGCCCCCTCCCCCGGCACACCCCTGCCTCGGCGCGCGGAGGGCTATGTGTGGGGGCGGCGCCAGAGGCGACGCTCGAGCGTGCGGGGAGGGGGGCCTGCAATAGGGGCTCGGCCTCGAGAAACCACGAGAAACCCAACCCTGAGAACCCAGGACGTCCATTGATTTTTTTGGCGTGGGCACGTCGCGCTTTCCGTAGCAGAACCATCGAATCCCAAGAAACCCAGGGCACCCTGGCTGCAAGCAGGGTGCTTCTTGGCATGGGTCTCCACTGTAGCGACGACCAAAGAAGTCCGCGCCGACCTCCGAAAGTGCGCGCCGAGATTTGGAAACAAAGGGGGGATATGATTTGAGCTGTTTTGGAGGGTTCCCCACGGATCTTGAGAAAGGGCCGCTCTTCCATGGCGGGTCTGGGGGGGGGGTCTGAAATTGCTCGTCTGGGAGGTTTGCGTTCCCCTCCGTGGTTGTGAAGTTTGCAATGCTCGTGCCGCTTCTGACTCGAAGGATACGGAGGCTGCACAAGAAGAGGCGCACAAGCGCTCCTTGGAGCAGCACCACCGCTTCTTGTCGCCGGACCACCCGGCCTGCCAGTTGTTGAAGCCCGCCTCGCAGTCGTAGGGCTCCGAGGTGCCAGAGCAGCCCTTGTGCTCATGGTCGCAGCACCACGACTTCTTGTCCGCCGACCAGCCCGCCTCCCAGTTGCTGAAGCCGGCGTGGCAGTCGAAGGGCTTCGAGCCAGACTGTGGGGCCTCTCTGGGGGAAGCAATAGTAAAAGGCCTCCCCACAGTGGGGCCAGCCAGAGGAAGCCGCAAGAGGCCCCCACGAGGCTTCCAAGCGGCCCCCAAGAGCTTCCCAAGAGGCCCACAAACTACCCCCACGAGGCCCCCAAGAGCGCTCGTCGTCGTCGTCGTCGCCACTCAGGGTCGGCGGCACCGGCCGTAAGGCCTTCGCAATACAAGGCCTCCCCACAGTGGGGCCAGCCAAAGCAGGTGGGGTCGGAGGACCGCGCCGCGCCGCCGAGGTCGTCGGCGACGGCGCGACGGAGGAGAACGACGAGCTCCGGATCGCGCCGCACCGCCGATGCATCTCGGCGACGGGGCGCGCTCCTCCGACCGCACCTCTGCTTCGGGGCCGCCCTTTTGCGAGGCCTGGACAAAAAAGGGCACAGCCGCCGCGGCGCACTCTCCTCCTCCTCCTCCTCCTCCTCCTCCTCCTCCTCCTCCTCCTCCTCCCCACTCCTCCTGCTGCGCACCCCTCTTCCGCCTCCTCCTCCCTTCCTTTTGCTCCTCCCCCTTCTCTCCTACTCGTCCTCCCCTCTCCCCCTCCACCTCCGCCTCCCCTCCTCCTCCTCCTCCTCCTCCTCCTCCTCGTCCTCCTCCTCCTCCTCTCCTCCTCCTCCTCCTTCCTCCTCCTCCTCCTCCTCCTCCTCCGCCTCCCCCCGTGCATTGGATCCAGGGCGCCTCCTGACCAGGACGCCGACGCGAGTCCGGCCGTGGCGACCAGGGCCGCCCAGGGGGCCCAAGGTGTGGAAACAAGGAGGGGGATATTCCAGATTTCGTAATAAAGGGAGGGGGGTCTCATTTCGGGGGGGGTCTCTTCCAGGCTATCTTGGAGGGCCTGGGGGGTCTGGGGACGATGCTTTGGAGGGTTCTCCCACGGGGGAGGTCTGAAATGGCTTGTCTTGGAGGGTCCAGACCCCCTCCCTTGTATTACGAAATCTGGGGTATGTGTGTCACATGTCCGCACGCACCTCAAAAGTTGAGCCTGGGCCGTTTCTCGAGCCGCGTCGAGGGGCGCCACACAAAAAAGCTCAGAAGCGAAGACGCCAGCGTGGACGACGCCGTCGTCCGCGCCTCCCTCTGGTCATATTCGGGCTTCTGCTGACCTGGGTCCATGCAAGCCTGGGCCAGTCAGGCTTTTCAGGATACCGCAGAATCCTGCAAGATCATCCGCAGGGTCCTGCACGCAAGCCCCAAGCCCGGGTCAGCGCAGCCCTGGCTTTGCAGGATCCTGCAAGATCCGGCGCCCTGACTGACCCCCGTTTGCATTGAACCCCGTCTCAAGGCCCCCACCATCTTGCGAGAATTGGGAATCGAAAACTGGTCAGGTCAGTGCTCCTGCCCCTCCTCTCCCCCCTTCCTTCCTCGCCCCTCTCGAAGGAGGAGGGGGGAGAAAGAGGGGAAGGAGCGCTGACCTGACCAGTTTTCCCTTCCCGAGAGAAGAGCCCCCGCGGGCCTCCTCGGACCCCGAACCGCGGTCGTCCTGCGGGGGGGCGCGGCAGAGGGGGAGCCAGGGAAGAAGGGCTGGCGCACCATGGGGCGAGGCGCGCGGACGGACGAGAGAGGAGGGCGTGAAATCGGCAGCGATCCCGTAGAATGAGGACGCACGATGAGGATGCCAGCCCTGGAAGGCCACGTCGACACGTTGCGAGCGGGGCGCGGCCAGTGCAAACTATCGAGGATGGGCTAAGGGGGAAGGACGCAAAGGGCAGCCTCGGAAAATCGCTCCTACTGTGCGGGTTGACTGTACACGGGAGCGTGCACGTTCGTGGCCACGGTCATGAGCCGTCAGCGTGCCCCTTGGCACGCTGAGGCCTCGCAGAATGCCAAGGGCCGTCTGGTAGGGTTCTGTGATATTCTAGGGGGGGGAGTAGAGGGGGAAGGGAGGATGAGGAGGAGAGAGGAGGATGAGGAAGGAGGAGAGGAGGAAGAGGAGAGGAGGAGGAGAGAGGAGGAGGAGGTGTGAGGGGGAGGAGGGAGAGGAGGAAGGTGGAGGGAGGAGGAGGAGGGAGGAGGAGGAGGTAGGCTGTACGGAGCCGTCGTTCGGAGTGCGCGGGCCCGCGGGGCGTAGGAGATGCTGAGGCCGGGGGAGGGACCCCACCCCCTCTTCCAGCATCAGCTGCGTGCCTTCGCCCCCCCTCCTACCAAAGACACGATCCCTGGTATAAGAACAACAGATCCGCGCTCCCGAGGCCACGATCCCTCATACAAAAGCGGTGGGCCTGCGCGCCCGAGCATCCGAGACGGCCGAGAAAGGCAACCAAGGCATCAAAGATCGCCCAACATGCCTCCAAGACGGCCCAAGATGGCCCCAAGACGGCCCGAGATGGCCTCAACACGGGCCCAGAGGTCCCTAAGAAGCATCAGACGGCCCTAGAGCCATCCAAGATCGCCCCAAGACAGTGAGCCCCAAGATGATCCAACAATTCTCCAAGACGGTCTCCAGGCAGCCCAACAGGGCCCCTAGACGGTCCAGGACGGCCCAAGAGAGACCCAAGCTGGCCAAGAGGGCCTCTGGAGGAACCACGGACGACCTCAGAGGCCCTCGAAGGGCCAAAGACTGCACCAAGACGGCCTCACGACGACTCCATGAGAGACCCCCTAAACGGCGAAGATTGCCCGAAGACGGCCCAAGAGAGGCCCAAGACGGTCCATGAGGGCCCCGAGACGACCCAAGAGAGGCCCCAAGGGACCCCAAGACTGCCCAACTGGAGCCAAAGACAGCCACAAGACGGCCCAAACGAGCTCCTCAAAAGGTGAAGACGAAAGGTGACACATGTGACGGCCTCCAGTACTCGAAGCTTTGCCACTCAACGGGCTGAGCTGGCAAGGTGGCGGGACTTGCCGCAGACACATGGATATCCACACACCCCTAGCCCATAGTCCTCACCTGCGATGAGGACGGGATGAAAACAAAAACGGATGAGGATAATCGGGAATCCCACCAGCCCTTCAGGACCCCTAGCCCATAGTCCTCACCTGCGATGAGGACGGGATGAAAACAAAAACGGATGAGGATAATCGGGAATCCCACCAGCCCTTCAGGGCGTGAGTGGTTTAGGGCGTCTCCTCTTATAACCCCCTTCTTCTTCTTCGGGGAGGGGTTTACCCCTCCCCCTACCCCCTACCACTGGACCTGGCCGGGGGTGTCCGCGACGCGTTGCAGCGTCCAAGACGGCCTCGGCGAGGAGGCACGAATCGTTGATGCTGCTACGCAAGGCGTTGGCCCAATGTCGGGCTCCTGGTCGGGGCACCTGAATGAGTACCCCTCCTTCTTTGATCGATCACCTCCAGGATGGCCCCATGGTGGCCCCCGAGGCTCCGAAGTGCCCCAAGAGGCCACCAAGATGCCTCCAGGCGGCTCCCATGAGACCCCCCAAGACGCCCAGGGCTCCCCCGAGGCACACAAAAGGCTTCAAGAGGCCCCAGGGACCGCCACGACGCCCCCAGGACGCCACGACAGGCCTACAAGAAGCTCTGAAGGGACTCCGAGAAGCACTCAAGAGGCCCCTGGCCTTTCTGTTCGCCCTCCTCCTCTTCGTCCTTCTCATCCGCTTAATCCTCCTCCTCCTCCTCCTCCCTTCTCCCTCCTCCCTCTCCTCCTCCTCCTCCTCCTCCTCCTCCTCCTCCTCCCCTCCTCCTCCTCCTCCTCCCCCTCCTCCTCCCTCCTCCTCCTCCTCCTTCAACTCCTCCTCCAACTCCTCCTCCAACCCTCCTCACACCCCGCCTCCTCGCCTCCTCCTCCTCTCTCCTCCTCATCTCATCCTCATTACTCAACTTCCTCTTCTCCTCGTCCTCATCCTCCTCCTCCTCCTCCTCCTCCTCCTCCTCCTCCTCCTCCATTATTTCTCCTTATAGATAACTCCTTCCGGTCGCACCCCGAGGCCAGCTTTTAGGGCGGGCCAGGCATTTCGCCTGAGACCCCCTCACCACGTATGACTCTGAAGCTGAAAAATTGACAACAGTTTGACGGATGGAGGGCGGGTCACTTTCAAAATGTGGCTCTCGCCTTAGCGCGTCGCACATTCGTTTTAAGCAAAATCAAGAGTTTCACGGATTGAGGACGGGTGGTTTCAAAAAATGTGGCTATCGCCTTAGCGCGTCGCACATTCGTTTTAAAGAAATTCAAAAGCTTCACGGATTGAGGATTGATAAAAAAAACAAGAAAAACTAAGAAATAGACCCATAATAGGCAATAAAATAATCAAAAAAAGAGTAAAAGAATTAGAAAAACAGAAAATAGAAGGTAACAATGAACTAAATAAAACTCATGATATAAAAGAAAACGAGAAATAAAAAAACAAAAATAAGTATAGATAATATAAAAAGAAAAAGAAGACAGAATAAAGAAAACATGACAGGGTGGATTTCAAAATGTGGCTTCGTCTTAGCGCCGCGCACATTCTTTTCTTGATTTGCTAAAATTGTCACGGATTGAGGGCGGGTCGCTTTCAAAATGTGGCTCTCGCCTTAGCGCCGCGCACATTCGTTTTAAAAACTTGCAAGAGTTTCACGGATTGAGGGCGGTTCCTTTTCTAAATGTGGTTCTCGCTTCAGCGCCGCCACATTCGTTTTTTAAATTTGCCAGAGATTCACGGATTCCCATGGTCAACGTACCAGAAATGATGTTCTGGAAGGATTCAGGATTATGCGGGCGCAACAGTTATGTTGATTCGCTGTGTTGAAGTCCCAACAATGGCTGGTGGCACGATTCTGGATCGTCAACACGCAGCAGTCAGGTTGATACATGGCGTTGAAATCCCGAGAACAATGTTTGGCACGCTTCAGGATCTTCAAACTGTTGTCTTCCAACGAGGCAGTTCTCTCAATGGATTGAACCGTTGTAGGGGCCTATGAAGAGGGAGCTTAGAGGGAGGGTGAATGCCAACATCGTTGGTGACTCTTCGGTTTCCGCTGGTCCTCCTCCTCCTCCTCCTCCTCCTCCTCATCATCATCATCATCAGCAGCAACAGCAGCAGCATCATCATCATCATCATCATCATCATCATCATCATCACATCAACAGCATCATCATCATCATCATCATCATCATCATCAGCATCATCATCATCATCATCATCATCATCATCGGTATCATCATCATAATCAGCATCACCATCATCAGCATCATCATCATCGGCATCATCATCATCAGCATCAGCATCAGCATTATCATCATCCTCATCATCATCATCAGCATCGTCACCATCACCATCACCATCATCATCATCATCATCATCATCATCATCATCATCAGCATCATCATCAGCATCATCGTGATCATCATCAGCATCGTCATCACCATCATCAGCAGCAGCAACATCCTCATCATCAGCATCACTCCCCCTCATCCTCCTCCTACGCATCATCATCAGCAGCATCATCAACATCATCAGCATCATCAGTATCAGTATCGTCGTCAGCATCGTCAGCATCCTCAGCATATTCAACCTCATCATCAGCATCATCATTATCGTCACCACCATCATCATCACTTACAACAACATCATCATCATCATCGTCAGCATCCTGATTCGCAGCAGACTCATCATCACCATCATCAGCATCATCACCGACCTTACCATCAGCATTATCATCAGCAGCATCAGCATAATCCTCGTCGTCATCACCATCACCATCATCGTCATCATCAGTAGCATCGTCATCTTCATCATCAGCATCACAATCATGAGCATCATCAGCAGCAGAATCAGCGTCATCATCATAAGCTTCATCATCACCATCACCATCAGCATCATCAGCAACAACAGCATCATCAGCAGCATCATCATTATCCTCGTCCTCATCATCATCATGATCAGCATCATCATCATCATCATCATCATCATCATCATCATCATCATCATTCTCATTCACATTCACATCCTCATCCTCCTCTTCCTCCTCCTCCTCCACCTCCTCCTCCTCCTCCTCTGGTTCCTCCTCCATTGACCCTCTCATGGGGTATGACGGCTTCCCAGCCTGGATTCCCAATGTTCCCCCACATGCCTGACCCAGACAGCTCGCCTGGGCATCGTTTCTAAGGATGTATCATCGTTTCCGTGGGGAGGGGGGAGGGAGGAGGAGGAGGAGGAGGAGGAGGAGGAGGAGAAGGAAGAGGAGGAGGAGGAGGAGGAGGAAGAGGAGGAGAATAAGGAGGAGAAGGAGGACCAGTGCAAACCCAAGAGGCATGAACGATGTTGGAATAAATGCTCCCTCCAAGCTCCCTCTTCATAGGCCCCTACAACAAATCATTTCCATTGAGGGAGCTGCTCCGTTGGAAGACAACCGTTTGAAGACCCTGCAGCAGGAAAAAAGTTGTTCTCGTATTCCAACGCCACGGATCAACCTGACTGTTGATTGCTGGCGATCCAGAATCGTGCCAAAACGCCATGCCTGGGACTTCAAAACAGCGAATCAACAGAACTGTTACGACCTCGTAATCTTGAATCCTCTCAAAAACACAAATTCTGGACGTTGATGATGGGAACCCGTGAAACTCCTGCATACTTCTAAAACGAATGTGCGCGGCGCTAAGGCGAGAGCCACATGTTGACAAGGAAACGCCCTCAATCCGAAGAACTCTTGCAAATTTCTAAAACGAATGTGCGCGGCGCTAAGGCCAAAGTCAATCTCTGTGAAACTCTTCAAAGAATTCAAAAAAAATGTGAAACGCCGCGCAGAGGCGAAAGCCACATTTTGAAAACCACCCGCCCTCAATACGTGAAACCCTTGCAAATGTTTAAAACGAATGTGCGACGCGCTGAGGCGAGAGCCACAAG